TGCTCAATAACTTCTGGGTCAAATAATTATGTTTTTGTGGTAGGTATTTTCTGGAGAAAGTTCTTAAACAGTTAGACAATTATTGAGACTTAATATACTGATAGAGATTCAATATTTTTAAAATTTTCTATTATAGAATACTCATTGTAATAGGAAACGCTTAAAACATCGAGAAAAACTTCCCTTTAGTTTTACAAACCTTAATATATTTGACAAAAACTAGTTCCCAACTAGTTCCAGTCTATAATAAAATTATTTATGAATTTAATCACAAAAAATATACATAGTCATAAATTATATCTATGCTCTAGGTACACAATTTATATAACAAAGAGGATAGTCACAACATAAACACATTACAGAGGTAATACGATAAAAATAAAATAAATGGAAAATGTCGAAACGTGATTTTGTAACGGTATTCCGTTTAATTAATCGCCCGTGTAACTTGGATAAACGGCTCGTGAGTTATGACCAAGCGACAGACGGATGGATGAATACGGGCCACAAACAATAATCTCCTAAGGGTTTCCATTTTCCGATTAGTTCCAGCAAACCGAATTCCAACTTGGGCGCTAGAGTTCAAACTGTACGGCTAACTTGTTACTGGCATTGCGGATAGTTCTTACTCATGATACCGTGCTCCCATGAGTTTAATTATTTTGTAAACTACTCAAGCGATATTGAGCAATGAGCAAATCATGTAATAAATTCGCTTTATTTATACGTCACCATCATCGCTTTCCGAAATGATGACCTTTCGAGAAAATCGTCATTTTTAAAAGTGATGACCATTTTTTTTAAGTATTTTATAATTATATTTTTTTCTAAATTCAATGACAAAAAGAAAAGGAAAGAAAGTTGATTTTAAATTTTAATGTTCAAATAGATATTATAAAACCGAAACAACTAGCAAATTAAAATTAAATATAAATAATTAACTTTATTAACTACTCAGCTAAAATAATAAAAAAAGAACTACGTGTGGTGTTTTTCTTAGACAAAAAGCTTTAAAAAATTCGGTAAGACTACAATAGAAATTCGTAAAGTATGGAAGCCGTAACCCTTATTTCCCAGTACAGGCCTCCGCTCGCCCAATCTAATTTCCGTAACGTTGATAGAATATCAGTACGTGTAGTGAATTTCTAAGGTAATTTTTACGAACCTACAACAATGTGCCTAGAGTATTACAAGAACCTTCCCCACCTTTTTTATAAAAGAATATCATACATATTCTTTCAACAAAATGCCTCTACTTTATTCTCCTTTACAAATTCTCGTTTGTAAATCATAACAATGCAATTCAAAGCATTGCATACTAGCTTTCTAGCTATCTTTAAGACTTGGCAGTTTCATTTTACTAAAGAATGGATAACATATTTCAAACAAAGTGTCCCGGAGAATGGCGTCAGAAATGATAACATAATGTGAAATGGGCTCATAAAGCAAGCTCCATACTGTTAATTGTAGTTGCTAATGAAGACTGAATGAGAGTTTCCGGAAAATTTGGAATGAAGCCAGCAATTTCCTATGTCAATATCGCTTTAAGCGTAAATCCTAAATGTATGCGAATTCCCTGCAAAATTATAAATTATTTTGCAAATACGTTTGTAAGATTGAAAACATACTTCAAGAAGGCTATTTTCACTACCCTTTTTTAAATTTGATAATTAAATTTAACTTTTCTCTTTAACTTAGAACAAAGTAATTCGAATTACATGATGTATTTGTTCATAGTTGTGACTGAAAGTGGTAAATGTCTACCAAAAAGACCTCATACAAATAAGTCCATCTATTGGATAAAAATGTTTATTGTCACCTCTTTTTAGATTTTCTTTTATTAAGCGACAAGACAAACTCCCTTTTCCATTTAAGAAATAAGTTGAAAATGTATTCCACATTTGTTCTCGTTCGGAGTTCGATACGTGTTTATATCCAACCGATACCATCTCGCCCGCAGTTTATACTGTTTCTATAAATACAGAAGCGGACATTTTAGAATTGGAATCTATTTCTTATTCTTCTCTACGTCTTCAATAAAATAGTAAATTCGTATACCCCCGGGGTGTTATTTTAAACCTTTCCTTGAATGTAAAAACAGTTCGTAAAGTCAGCACGGATCAGACCATTGGGTTTTACTACTTTTCCTAAAATTCGGCAGTTGTTATTCTAATATCTTAAACGTAGAAAAATGTTTTTGGTAATATTAAGTGCGAAATTGAAACAGTAAAAGAAAGAGTTAGTGCTCTATTTATTTTTAAAGGCCCTTTGTTTTTTGGTTTCTTCTTTTAACTAGGGCTGAATAAATCTATTGACCAAAATGTAATTTTGCGTTGAATTAAAATAAAGTAATGGATTTTGAAGAAATACCAACCCTGAAGACAAAAAGGACAAAAACATTATTTATACATAGTAACTGCTTGCGAATAAGAGTCCCGCTGTGAATTGGAACTAGTGGAACTTTACTTAAATAGTTTCAAGTGGAAATATTACTTTTAATTGAAATAATAATTTTCAAAAAAAAGAAGTTTGAGAAGTTTTAAGCTACAGTACTTGCAGTGGGACGTCGCTCACCATGTTTAAATCTAATGATTATGAACCCCGCTGTAGCTTGAAAGTAGTCGTGTTTTTTTTTTTCAAAAACATTATTTAAACGAGGCAGATATATTAATCAATAAAGTAAAATGAAATTTTTGTTACGTTTTAACAGTGTAAAGACAATGACAATTAATTCTTCTTTTTGTAATTCTTCTTTTATGTAATATGTAATATGTAATTCTTTTATGTAATATGTAATTCTTTTTTTAATTAATAATTCTTCTTTTTGTAACAAAAGAATTAATACAAATTGCCTACGATGGTCCCGAAACACAATTCAAATTGAACCTTTTCCTATCTAGTAATATGCCTACTAATTAATAAAGTCAATTAATTTTGCTTTGCTTCTAAAAGGCTTTTTTTGTGAGGGGAAAATCATCAAATGACTTCTCTCGCCCAGGGCCGGGCTCGAGGGAGTGTCAGACTCTTACTGACTAACAACCCCCCTGTTCCTTCTCCTGCTCTGAGCCGAGGTCGCGGTGCCTCATTGCGCTTACCCCGCAACCCCGGCTGATAAAAGGCTTGACTTGTGTTCGTGTGAATATTTATTCGTCCTACGAAAATATCAACTTATTTAGACTTTTAATAGATAATAATTCATATTTTTTATGATATACCTACTAGTTTATTTGTACACGTAAACCGTCACCAGCCTATAAGTGCTCAATGTGACTCTGTTTACACGACGAAGGTTTTAACATTAATCACTACACTTGCCCAAGGCGGATTGGCGATTTCAAATTTACAAGTCCAAGCTTCCTCGTCAGATATAATTAAGTTAGCTTAAGATTAGAAAACTCCTTGGAAAAATTGAATTATTTGATCTCAAACTCAATTATTGTTACCCTAGAGACGGTATGATTGATGATTTTGCTTATTTTTCTTAAGAACTACTTTCTATAAATAACAATGCTATAATTTTATATCTTACTTGTTTACCAAATTCTATTTTAACCCATTTTATTATAAATGCAGACATGTTTCATGTTTGAGTATATATTGTGGGACAGTGGCCAAGCTTGGCTACTAATGGGTCGGTCGGCCAATCCGGAGTTATACCACGGCCTCACAGAATACCGACGTGAAACAACCACAGCGTTGTGTTACGCCGTGTGAGAGAGGTTACTGGAGGCCCAATTATTCCCCCTCTCCTATCCATTCCCAATCCTTATATCCGCAACCCTTATCGCAAAAAGACCGGCAACGAACTCGTGACTCCTTTGGTGCTGCAGGTGTCTATGGGCGGCGCAGATTGCTTACCATCAGGTAATCCGTCTACTCATTTCATAAAAAAAATATTAATGTTAGTGAACTCCCGTATTACATCCGATCTGTACCGGTAAAAATAGGGGTTTAGAAAAGTCGGAAAGAATCCTGATATTAGGTACAGTCTGGTATTAGATGCAAGTCAGTGGTAGCAGTACTTACGCCCTAGCTATTTCGAATTCGATCCAAATCCATGAAAGCTTGAACTGAAATGTCACGTCATGTCGCGTTTTTTACCATATTTTTTTACCTTTTATACAACTAGAAACTGAAAGTGCGAAACAAACATATTTAATCTTTATCTTATGTTTCACTTCAACTTGACTTTTACTAGGACGCAGTGTGATGAGAGAATAGGTATTGTCGCTAAATAAAATGAAAGAATAGGTAATATGGCTAAATAAGAATAGGTACGTTTTTATAATAACTATCGTGAGACATACTAAATTAACTAGAAATCGCACTTGTAAATATTGAGAAAAGCTCTACTAATTTTGAACCACAGAGGGGTTCTTCCTCATGAGCAGCGTGTGCGGACGCGGCGACGTCGCGCAGCCTACTGAGTGAGAAACTAGTAGAGCTTTCCTCAATATTTACACGTGAGTAATCCGCGATTTTTAGTTAAGAATAGGTACAATAAAAATCTTAAGAATGTAAACTACAACGGGAATAGTTATACGATTAAAACGGACCATATTTTCACGGATTCATATCGGATTCAGATCGGGTAGTGGTAGTCGTAGGGCGGAATCGCTCTGACAACGTAATTGGTGACTTGAGAATACTCTCAGAATTGATGCCCTGACATAGTTTGTCTCTTAATATTTGATTTACATAAGACAAGGCACTTAGAAGTGAATGTTCACATTGTGTTACTTGTAATGTAATTTAATGCCTTCACCTGTTAAATAATGAGGTTAATTATATATCTGGGTGATTCTTCACATCAATTAAAAAAAAATTAATAATGTCATTATCCTCAACCGAAAATTAACGAGTCTGCTGATTAAAACACAGATAATTATTTTATTAAATTAAATCTCACCACTGCTTACAAGCAACCGATTAAAAATATTGTATAAAATAAATTACTAAGATGCTTATTGAGTTTTGGTTATACGTCCAAGAGGTTACTTTCAAACTAAATAAAAACCTTCAGGTCGTGGAGGCCCGGAGGTTAAGGCGCCTTCATTAAGGAAGTTAAGCTTCTTACGCATGAGGGTGCGGGTTCGAAACCTGGCAAGTAGTAATGTGATTTTTTCTGAATTAAAATATACATAGTCTGGCCATAAATACTGTTACAATTAAAAATAAACAAAATATTACATTTGAATTTAGAATCTGTCATTTTTATATAATTTTTCATTGTGTTTTCTTATTTTGGCGCCAATAAATTGTTCAATATTTTGTCGATGTTTGTGCAAAATGACCGTATTTATGCTCAAAGCTCTAAGGAAGCTTCTCAATTAGTCGACAGAGTACAACGTGGGCATTATCCGACTTCAGTGATGGTTTGGTGGGGTGTTAGCTATGAAGGAGTGACTGAGCCATACTTTTGCGAAAAAGGTATCAAAACATCGGCACAAGTGTATCAAAATACCATTATTGAGAAGGTAGTTAAGCCCCTTAACAACAATGGCCATGTTCAATAACCAACAATGGTCTTTCCAGCAAAAGTCGGCGCCGGATCATAAAGCTCGGTACACGCAGTCTTGGTTGGAAACGAACGTTTCCGACTTCATCAGAGCTGAAGACTGGCCGTCGTCTAGTCCCGATCTTAATCCGCTGGATTATGATTTATGGTCAGTTTTAGAGAGTAGGGCTTGCTCTAAGCGTCATGATAATTTGGACTCCCTAAATCCCTAAAACAATCCATACGATTGGCAGTGAAGAATTTTCCCATGGAAAGAGTGCGTGCTTCTATAAATAACTGGCCTCAACGTTTACAGGACTGTATTGCAGCCAATGGAGACCACTTCGAATAAGCTTTTTATGTTTTAATTTGTTTTATATTTATGTATTAAACTTATATACTGTAAAAGTAATAAATGTAATTTGCAATAGAAAAAATAAAATATAGCAATAGAAATATATTTGTTACAGTATTTATGGCTAGACTAGGTATACTTCAAAAAATATCACATAGGTACTTTCTACGATTATTTAAACACCACTTACATTCGGTAAAGGAAAACATCATGAGGAAACATGGGCTTATAATTTCTAATTATAAGTTTAAAATCGCCAACCCGCCTTGAACAAGCATGGTTTTTGATGATCAAACCCCTGTGAGAATAAATCTTTGTTCAGCAGTGGGCACTTATAAACTGATGATGTCATACGTACAAGAAATTACTTTCGAACTAAGTAAAAACACGTACGTTCAACTTATTATGCAAATATTTTAATACATTTTCAATATTTCCTATTACCTTGGGTACATGGCATGTAGGTCAGGATGCACAGGAACGTGTCTCGTGCGAGGGGACATTGCGGCCGCCGCGTTGATCGCTCGGATGCGTGCTCGTAACCTCTCATACTGCTCTGGTTGATACTGCGCGGCTATTGTCACTGTGGCTCCGGAGTACTGCTTGAGTGGAGAGACAAAACAATATAGAATTTAAGAACACTTAAAATTATGTGCAAGTGTGGGAAATCCATGCTTCGGCACGAATGGACCGACTCGAGACCGGAGTGATACCTTGTGAGGCCTCACATAAAACCGGCGTGAACCAAAACTTACAATGTGTTTTGCTGTGTCAGTGAGGTTACCGAAGGCCTAATACTTATACATATACTTAATCCTCAAATCATCTATCCTTAAATCCCTAATAACCTAATAAGGCTGGCAAAGCACTTGTAGTAACTCTTTTGGTATTGCCTACCATCAGGTAATCCGTCTGCTCCTTTGCCGACGACTTAAGTAGGTAGAAAAAAGTTAACAAAGTTGTACAAAGTTGTACAAAACATAATGATAATTTGGCATCGACTTGTATTTAGTGACAGTCAAATGGTTAGATGTTTTCAAGAAACCTTTTCCGACTTTCAAACTATATCTAGATAGATACCTTCAGTGCAGCAGCGGCTTGTTCATGCGTAGCTCTTGTGAGGTCTCTGCCGTCGACGCTCAGTATCCTGTCACCTCTATGTAACATGCCGTAGGCGGCCCCACCTACGGAAACACCCGACACGAACACTCCACAGGCGTCCTCATCCGTGCTCCCTTCCACCTCTCCTCCCAGCCCTCCGACGATATCCATGCCCAGACGTGAGCCAGACCGTACAAGCCTGACCATGCGGACACATCTGTGGTTGACAACCAAAATCGCATAAATTTTCATTGATAAAATTATAAATAAATGGCATTGTATTTCATTAACAAATTAATACATTAAAATTCCAATTATATCTTTTCAATTAACGAATGAATGATAATAATAATCTGAATTTATTATGTTATTTTTTAAGCTTAAGTGTAAATTGTGACAATTTAATTGATAATTTGATATGAGAAATGTGTAAACTGCTTACTTTAACCGCAAAAACAAATTTAAATTTAAGATTTGCCAAAGTTAAGAAATTATAAGTTTCGAAAGGACTGTTCAGCGGTTTTCCAGTAGCGGTAAAGGAAACCAAAGTTTCGGTGTCTGAAACTTATTGTCTTTGTTTTGTAGTTGGTGGAATTTTGTTCATGAAATAATTCTTAATATTATTATTAAGATTTATGCTGAAGCTCTTAAAAAACTCCTTAATAAAAGTGATGCTAATTTCGAATTTGTAAGAAGTCTTAGAACAGAAATTGAAAATGATTATTCAAAATTAGTGCAATTGCATCAATAAACCAGCTCAATGGGTCCATAGGAGTCCAATTGTGAATGCTCATCTTATCTACATATGTATAACTAAATGTAAAGATGTTAGGTAGAAAAAAAAAACTTTAATTTATTTCAAAGTATGTTACAGGTTGACTTTATAAAAACGGTAACAACAATAGCTTTATTTGTGTATAGGTATACGATTCAAAAAACGCGACCAAAATAAGAAAATTCTTTCTTTTTGAAGTTGAGTAAAAACAATGCGGAAATATCTTCACATTAAATACCAAAACCAGAAACATCAAAAGTTACAAATAACAAAACATTACAGCTTAAATACGTATTCGATAAGTAAAAATTAAATTGAAATACCTATATATTAAAGAAAAAAATTGTATCTAAGAAGAAAAACAAGTAGACGATTACTTACACAAATTTCGTCGCCAAATATTTCTTTCAAAACAAAATAAAAATGTCTTAGCAAGTATTAAAGTAAAATATGAACACAAAACGAAATCTGTCCTAAAAAGATAGTTTATGATAACTGACTATTTGGGTTGAGAAATTTGTGCCATAAATCTCTCGAGCAAACGTAGGCTGGCTTGAAATAGTGGATGCTGGAAAGGGTCAAAGTTACCTCGGTATTTCACTTGGTTCCTCTTCTAGTAACTCGTGAAGCGTTGAACACGACGTGGCCTGCGTTTTTGCTACACAAATAAAAGAAAACATATAGGTTAATATAAAAAATATTATACATAATAATATTAAAATTTAAACCACCCACACCATCAGCCTATAAGAGCCCACTGCTGAGAAAAGGCCTCTCCTCACACGGAGAAGGTTTGAGCATTAATCACCACGCTTGCTCAAGGTGGATTGGCGATTTCCAACTTATAGTTTATTTAGAAATTCGCGGGTTAAATAGAAAAAGGCCTAACTCAAAAATGAGGATATTCCAAAATTTAACCTTATTATTGAAGCATAATTTTTAAGATTGAAATACTTTATCTTTTGAGTTAGGTCTCTTTTCTGTTTAACAAGCGAATTGTGAGTCAAGGTTTTTTCACGATGTTTTTCTTCACCGTATGCCAATGATGTCTAGATAATCATATAAAGTACATATAACTCGGAAACGTCAGATTGGTACTGGATAAGTTTTGAGCCTCATGCATGAGAAGCGGGCTCTTTAACTTCCGGGCCACCACCACTTAAACCACTTTAATAACTAATTCTTCACAAACGACGGCAACGCATAATATGTAACAACTAGGTACTACATGCTAACCCGTGGTCTAGTGGACGTCCAGCGTATCATAGACTAAGCCGATTACTTACCATCAAGCTATCCCATAATACTTTAACTGTTCGATGTTATACCCATAATGGCGTTTGGTAATCTGCTCATCCATCATTACAAAATCAGTTTTTTTTATTTGAAATCGTTGCCCCACATTAGCATATTTTCCTTTGCCCTGGGTGCGTTTACAAACATACAATTCCACATGCATATCACACCCAGACCCGGAACAACAATTTGTGGATCACACAAAGAGTTGTTCCGTGCGGGAATCGAACCCGCGACACGTTGCACGGCAGCCAGTTGCCCAGCCACCGCGCCAACTAATTTCATACTTATATTGTCGGTTATAAATTTCATACTTATTATTACTTACCTAGTAATAATAAGTATGAAATTTAAATAATTTGAGTTTAAATAAAATTAGAATGGGATTGTGGAATTTCGAATTATGTAATTGATGCTACTGAAGATTGACGACGACGATGAAAATTAGATAAAGGTAAATCGGTAATGTTACTTACTTGAGTATAATGGAGCTGTTTTGGCTACAGGAGGTACAGAACCGGCTGATAATACTATGAGCGTGACTTGATCTCCTGTACTTCTTAAGGCAGATACAGCGTGAGCGTGTGTCGCACCAATTAGAGAGGTTTCAATACCCTAAAGAAAAACAGAAAGTGGAAAATCGTTTAGAACTAAATTTATCTACGGTTATATTAAATTAAATTATCCAAAATTCTCAAAAGAGTACCAATGTATTTTATCTTATTTTTTATAGGATAGGTCTCATAGGTCGGCAAACGAGCTGATTACCTGGTGCTAAGCCACCGTTCCGCCCGTCCTAACACCAGAAGAGTAACGAGTGCGTTGCTGACCTCTTCAGGATTGGCAATCCGGAGATTTAGGGATTGGGGAAATGTGGAAGGATTGGGCCTCCGGTAACTACGCTCACACGATTAAATACTACACTGTGGTTGCCGGTATACTGTGAGGCCTCTCCTTTCATCGCTCCTTTCATCGTCATGAAACAACACTTGTTTCTTCGTCTGAGTAAGGTAACCAAGAGAGGCCCAAGCATTCTCTCTCATCCCTCCCAAATCCCTAAATACTTCGAAACCTTAAAGACCTTTCCCTACAAGACCGGCAATGTATTCGTAGCTCCTCTGGTGTCCTCTGGTGTGGCGAATGTCTATGGACGGCGGCTATAACTTAACATCAGGTGATCCGTTTGTTCGTTTGCCGAACAATGCCATTAAAAAAAAATATGATTTACTTACATCTTTGTCTCTAACAGCCAAAATTTTATCGCCCAGTCTTAATCTGCCATCATGATGCGCAGCTCCACCTACAGCAATATGAGAGACAAAGATGCCTCCTCCGCCTGCTGCATCATCAGCTCCACCAGCTATACCAAGCCCAAGACCTCTAACTCCTCGCCATAAGGTCACCACCCTTGGTCTTCGAGCTCGTCGCACTCTCTGGTTAAAAATATACTTTATTTATATAAGCTAGTCATGTTTTAAACATTACAAGCATGCAGTTGCATGTGTTTGGCAACTAAAAAAAATTGTTGAAAGCCTTATCCTCCACTACCATCGGTTGTCCGATGGTGTTCAATGTGCTAAATATAAATAACATTGTAAGACGTCTATAGAATACTGTGTTTAGAAAAACAAAAAAATTTAGTAATTTTAGCTAACAAAATAAAATGAAGCTTTTTGCTTGGTTCTCGTTTCTGAACCGTTTGTTATTTTGTGTGTACATTCCTGTTTGACTTGGTAGTTTCCTTAAGTATATTTTCATTTTGTATTTTTTTTTTCAGTTTAAAGTTGCCTTATTTATGTAATACATTATACAAATGTTCGATGTAATAGTGTATTGTAAGCACCGTACACATTAATGCTAGTGTTACCAGATTATTTTACAAAAGAAAATGTTTTGTTTTTGGAACTCCTTAGGTCTCGTTTCCCAAAACGCAGCGCATTGCTAAGTGCGTCGTGTGTCCATCGTACATTGCTCACTTGATTATATTTGTGCAAACGATGAGGCGACCTGCCTACGCAATGTACGACGAACGCACTACGAAACTCTGCGAATAGCGAGTGTGTAAAGACTTTTTTATGAAACCTCTTCTCTAAAGTAGTTATTTGCGATTATTTCTGCGCTTTCACTAACAATTTCTTTTGTTTGTTTATAATTATTTGAAATGTATCGTTTGAGAGTCTATTTATAAATATTTTTTCTAAGAATTTAATTCATTCTATTTACAATTCATTCTAATTTGTCTCGTTCAATTTTGCGCTCAAAGAGTATTTTTAATAACAGCAAAATTCTGATGTTAAATTGCAACAGCGTTAATGGATTCCATTTCATTTTATGTTTATGGAACTAGCTTTGATTTTCAATTCATTAGGATGTTTTCATATAAAAACTTTTACCTTTGACAGGGAAAGTAATTAATTTCTGATCTTAATTACAAATGTTTTGACTGTATTTATCTCAACATATTTATACAGCAAAAGAGTGGGTGCTTGGAAACTTCACGTGGGTTAGATTCCTATTATTGTCACTCATACCCAAACAAAATTAACATGACATTGATACCTACTTATCCTTTCAACAAAAAGTATGTCACAAATAAAAGTTGGGCAAGTTAGCGCTTACTTCAAAAACTCATCAATGTATTGATATTAAAAATAACACAAGCCTCATAACACTTCTTTCTTGATCTTTTTAAATGAAAAAATATTTTTCTACTATATCTACAACACAATAGAGAGTAATAGAAAAAAAATTTTAGAATCTTTTAAAATTGTAAGCAAAATGTCAACAACGTCAGATATGCACCATTAGCGACAGCAGCGCTAGAGAAAGCGATAAAGCAAACTATAAAACAGCCAATTAGAAAAGAGCTATGATTTACAAAGCGCTGGCAATGCTAAACTTACTAATCTAACGACGCTTCCAGCTTTTTGAAGAGCGTCAACCGCGACCGAGTGAGGCGCTCCTTCCACAGAAATGTCATTCACCTGCATAAATGTAACATCAAGTTTATCTAATGGAACATTCAACTCTTTATTTTTCCTAGTGACACTACATTAACAAATTATTTTCACGTTACAATCAGAGATTTTCAAGTTAAGTTATATTAAGACCACCAGGCCCGGATATCCCTGTACGATTATATTATAAACATGTTACCATCACATAATATTTCGTTCACTCACGTAAATTAAGTGAGAAAATCTCTACTACTTTCAAGTCACAACGGGACTCTTAGTTATGAGGAGCGACCAAACAGACCGAACCGGAGACCACCGGACCGAAGACCTCGAGTCAGGACAAACAAATGGAGATTTTCTCGGTAAATTTACGTGAGTAAGCGGTTATTTTCATATGTTCAGTATGTTTCATAATAAACTAGTTCCATTTATTTTAATATAAGTACATTGCGGAAAATTATGTTACTAAATAAAAAAAATATATGATACAAACACGTACACACATGCGTATTTAAATTTTTAGATATTGAACAGAAATATTTATGGCTACATATATAATATGTACACAGAACTATGCCCAAATCCCACGTAATAGTACATAATTTAACATCAAACACATTCACGTTTTCCAGCAAATTAATTAATTTGTTTGTTCATAAAATAATATTATTAATTTAATATCATTATTGTTAATTTTATTTCATTACGCAAATGATCTCAGTTCAATTTAATTTAAAAAAACTGTTGTTTCATTATTTTAATCAGTGCAAACGTAATTTTTCATGCCATTCAATAATAATAATTAAATAATTATTATACCAAAAATATTTTTATCATATTCTCCTTGCCACGAAGGAGAAATGGTCTTTAAGTGAACCCAAACTCGGTGTGTGGAAGACGCCTCTCGGAGATAGCCCAAGGGTTTCCATCAGTGATCTCTCAATTTTCTAAGCAAACCAAACCAGCTTATTGGTACCATGATACTGCATAGCCAAATTTCCTAATAATTCAATAATTAAAAATGTGTCAAATTCTAGTTAGATACCTATTATAACTTGGGTCGTTACAGGTCGACTGCACACACATTTTATTCATTTTAAACACTTCAACCACAGACCTTTCTGTTTGCCTGATATTGTTTATTGCAGTTTCACAGGATATAGATAAATATGTGTTTTATTTTCATGCCATCTCAACATTCTTATTATTTGAATGAAACAGATGTTTCAAAATTGACGTCACAATGAAATAATATAAATTAGAACAATGTATTGTGTCAGAACCGAACACCTTTGAAATACCGTTTCGTTTTCCTTGTAACAAAACACTTATTTGTCATCTTTTTTCATGATTCAATTACAACAAACATCTAGAACCTTTATTTATGTATAATTTACATAACGTCAGTTTCCTTAAAACATGTCATGCCTACCAAATGAAAATAAGTTCAAATATAGAAACAATACATGTTAAGGTTGGGCCTCCTCTGGCAGCACGGAGTCGCCGTTTCCCGTAGCCTTTTCCCTTGGTCTTTGTCGCTTCGAACTGCCATTTGCTAGACCGAGACAGAAAGCATAATGCGATAGTACGCGGCATAATCCTCGAGGCGATCGGCATCAAAAATGCAAAATGCGGACAAAATGCAATGGTCAGCAGGGAGACTGAAGAGTGCGATAGCATGCTAACGTATCTTTTCACCTTTTTGTGCATCGCCTTTTTCGTCTGCGGAACACGATAGCGCGCGTTTGCATGCGGCAGCATACTGCAGCACGTGGTGGCACAGGCGGAACAAATGCAATTCCATACTGCCAGATGAGATCCAACACTTAACTTGTAATAGAGCTTTCAAGATCATGCTGATTAGTTGCTTCGTAGTCCAAGCCTAGACAAAGTAGGTAAATGCCAGGTTCAAGGTTCAAGCGTGATAATGTACCGTGATTGTGGCCCAGCGTAGGAGAAGGAACGGGGTGTTTTTCAGTCCGCCAAAGTCATATAGTCGCTCTCGTAGTCACTCGTTGTGTTTCACCGTGTGAATGAGGCTACCGGAGGCCCAATGCTTCCCCTCCTCCGAATCTCATAATCTCCAAATCCCTAATCCCCAAAAGGTCAACAACGCACTCGTAACTTCTCCATAGCTGTGGGTGTACATAGGCGGCGTTGATTGCTCATCATCCGGTTATCCATCTGTTAGTTTGCCGTCATCCAAACTAACATTATAAATGCGAACTGTCTGTCGGTCTGTCTTTTCTTCACGCCTAAACTACTGAACCGATTTCTGTGAAATTTGGTACAGACATAGTTTGGAACTCGAGAAAGGACAAAGGATAGTTTTTATACCAAAAATCTGCAGGAAGTCACTATTCCACGCGAACGACGTCGCGGGCCAAACCTAGTGTCTCATAAAAAAATCGTGCCTAAAATATTGTGTTACGACTCATTAATCCGCGCCACAGGGGATTGACACATTACGTTTATTATGCAAAACTATAGTAATTTGAATAAGATGGAACATTTGCCAAACAATTGTGTAGGTAATCACTGTAAACATGTTACTACCGTAATTACGGTGTAATCTGTAATTAAGTTTAAACTCTATAATGGCTGGCTCAGTAGAGGGGCAAGCTTATCTAATATTTAAATTTATTAGCACTCACACTACGTTGTAGTAATTTAAGATTAACAAACGTGACAAGGCGGTTAACGAAAAGACGGATCACCGAATGGTAGGCAATTGAACTGGCCCATGGACAACACCAGAATAGTTAGTTCCCAGCCTTTTGGATGTTGTTAGAATTAGGGAACTGACGATTGGGTAACTTTACTTACACGGAGAAACCCAATACAAGTACCAGTTTTCTGTCAGACAATGTTATTACTCAGGTCGAGTCGTCCCATTTTCTCCAAAGCACACCTATTTTTTGTAAGTTGAAAATCATCCAATGACTTCTTCCTTCTTCCGCCCAGGGTCAGACGGGAGGGAGTAACAGACTCTCACTGACTAAAAACCCCCCGTTCTTTCTCCTGTTTTGGGCCGAAGCTGCTGTGCCTCATTGCACTTGCCCCGCTAATCCGGCTGAACATCAGCCCTAAAGGGCCCCATCTGTGGTAGTTTGTTGGCCCATTTTCAGTCGCATGCGGAACGCTAAGTGCCGCACGCTCGGGTATGATTCTGGTCCGACGACGAGCTACCCTTACTCGCCGTCCGTAGACCACCTACTCCGAAGCATAGCTCACCCATACCTAATAAATAAGAAGTGATTGAACGATTTCAATCCAAAATTCAAAATTTTGACGTAAACTCCGCATTATCTAATTTGGAAGCGTAATGGAAAGAAGATATGTAGTGTGACTCCTATTTAGAAAGGAACAAAGTTAAAAACTTATTATAAAAACAAGTGAAAATGTAAAACGATATCTTGTTGGTTTTCAATTAAGGTGATATAAAAAACCGACACAAGAGCGACATAATTATTAATTTAAGTTTGAGAGTAAACCTTGGAAGTCCAATAGTAACGAGCTCTAGTTTTTGAGTATAAGAAAGCTATGCTTTGTCATGAATGGGCTGGTTCGTTCGGAGCAATACCTCGATCTTATTTAAACTTTCCATGAAATTACACTTGCGTTATATTCATCCATTGAGATAAGATAACTAGAGGCCGAAACCTTACAAATGTTATAGTGGTCGCATAGCGTTCCGTGCGCGACTCAAAGACCAAATGGGTCACCTCAGACGTGTTCCAACTAGCCTGATGTTCAGCTGGAGTTGACCGGCAAGCATAATAAGGAACCACGGCCTCTGCCAGGAGCAGAAGAAGAAACGGAATAGTTTCTAGTCTGTAATAGTCTGACACTCCCTCATAGAGAAGATATTCCACCGTCAAAAACAAAAAATCCTTAACCCCGATTCCCGCGATCATCAAATCACAAACCGTCGTAAAAACACTATTTAATAAGTAGTAGACTTATGAAATGCTTGTAACGTTAAATTTAAAACCAAATATATAAAAAAATACAATTTATACAAAAAATCCATACATGTAACGAATTCTAGGAAGTTTTACTCCGTCAAGTAATTAAGCCTTAACTTAACAAACAGCGTTTAAATAAGGTTATTGATATACGTTGTCTTTCCGAGAATAAAAATGAAACAACTTCTTCCTTCATTTTCTTATTTATTCATAAATTATTTTTCATTTATATCATAATACGGTGTATTCCTTTTACATTATTTTTCTAGGAAGTCAATGGTAACACTGAAAATAATTTAAATCTATTACACCAAACTGAATTTGGAATTACAAGTAGGTTTTCCTTAATCCCTACGCGATACTCACAGTAAGGTCAACAATTTGGTGGATATCACTGCCCAACCCTATGAGGCTGGTCACAGTTTTACGATAATTAGGTCCACTTTAATATAACTGATGCCATCAGTCACTTTCATCTACTCTCACTAAGCTAACGAGGCATTCAACCAAGCAATTAGCAGTAACGTCCCTATAAAATTAGAATATCAACAACTGAGGTCAAATTTATTATGAATGTGCTCTGAAAATTAACCTTTATGAAGTTGGGTCGGCTATTAATACCTATCTATGTTCAGTGACAGACATAAACTGCGGTTATTCACTCTAATCTGTTGTTGTTAATCTGCCCTTTATTACTTCTAGTTACATCATAACTCACACTGAAATACCAACACAATTTTGGTAGTTGCTAACGTTATGACGATATTGTTCGTATATGATTTTATTCTTATCTAGCAGATATTGTACGAAACCCTCTACGTGTGTATTTTAAAGACAAGATAAACAGAAAGATAGAAATATGTAGGGTAGGTATATGTATGTCTCAGGTTTTTTGGATTGTTTTTAAAGTGCCTACTTAATATTTAGTTTTAACATGTTTTTTTCCAACTAGCAGCTTGACTACAGTTGGCTATAGTTTTTCTATTTACCAGGTTGCGCAAGAGTGATTCTTTATGAGACTTTTCGAATAAAGCGGAACTTTCGAGTGCTACAACATTAGACGTTAACTTATTGACTGACAATTTGCAAGGTGAGCAACATATGATGAGCAAGGGACCCTAAATGTATAATTCTGACCTCGGCAAGAAGCAGCATGGCTTGCAAATGACTTCTCATGCAAAGGATGGTTGAGAGGTTTCAGAATCTCATTGGGTAAAACGCAACCCGAAGGTAGAACCCCTTCTGGTCCGGATCAGAGCCGTGGTAAATTATTTTGAGAAAAGTCATTGGATGACTTTCCATGACCACAAATAATAAAAAATCTTTCTTAGATATGTTGAATGCCTGTAAATACATCTTAGCATCTTTCAACATAATTTAGTTGAAGTACAAGAAAATCCTTGAAAAACAGGTAACAAATATTTGTCGATCCGTGAAAATATAAAAATGAAGCTGTCAAATTAAATATTCAACCTTACACAGAATTTCATTAAACAAGAAAAGTTTGAGGAATGTCTTTTAAATAAGTTCCTTGTACAGTTTTTGAGTGCTTGCCTACGTGAAAAAAGTTTACCTTCGCGTTTATTTGCTAAGAATTTATTACTTTTTCTTCTTTTTCTTTATTCTAAAAAATAAATTTAGGTAGGTAGGTATATGATGGGAAAATTGCAAAAACATGCATTTATATTTGATACTAGCTTTTACCCACGGCGTCGCTCCCGTCATTTGAATACCTACCCTACTTGACCTACCCTACCTACTCTACCTACCCTACTCTACCTACCCTACCTACCCTACTCTACCTACCCTACCTACCCTACTCTATGTACCCTGCACTACCTATAGTACCACCACTATACTCTACCTACCCTACTTTACCTACCCTACTCTACCTACCCTACTCTACCTACCATACCCTACCTACCCTATTCTACCTACCCTACTCTACATACCCTACTCTACCTACCCTACTCTACCTACCCTACTCTACCTACTCTACTCTATCCTATCCTATCCTATGTCCTTCTCCTGGCTCTAAACTACCTCCCTGCCAATTTTCAGCAAAATCAGTTCAGCCGTTCTTGAGTTATAAGTGGAGTAACTAACACGACTTTCTTTTATATATGTAGATTATAAATTTATTGTTTATCAATAAACTACCACATTTCTTTTCTTTTCTTCCTTTACAAACTTAAAATTGCAGATTTAAGATTTAATAGGTGGCTAGTTTAGATGGTTCGACTATAAGACAAGATAATTAGCAGTACGAGATGTTCATAATTTAACTTTAAGGAATTATTAAATAGCTAATTATGAAAATGAAAGGTATTTTCTTCGTAAGGGCCTTATTAGAATTCTGGGGAGGTTACAAGGTCACCATTTTTGCTTGTAAAAAAGGCTGGAATATATTTTTCTATTTTACTTGAAATATTAATGTAGGTACAAAATCTTTAAGAAAAAAAAACCTTATAAAAATGCAAATATAATACTAGTTCTTTCTCATCGAATGGCGACACGCGTCAAACTATTAAAAATCTAGGTCGCAATAGACTTCCAATCCGAACAGATTGCACAAGTTGTCTTGACCTTCTTCAACCTATATTTGTTTGATCTCAAATATTTGAAGCGTGGGCAGAATAGGGAACAGTTCCCTAGTAGAAGTTCACTCTAAGTTTTTGTATGTATACACAATTTTGTTCGTCCATTCCGTCCTTGTATGTTACACGTCTACCAAAAAGGCAAGGTTTATTTTTAGGCCAGGGTCCTGGTTGTTTCCCCACACGGCTCACAAAGGCACATAAAAAGGTTTGTGGTAAATAGAGGTAAAATAATTTACCCATGGAATTTATAACGTAAAGAGAAAGGTGCTACTTGAGCTCCTTATAATGTTAAATATGAAACAGCTCATTTTCTGCTATGAAAATGATATGTGTAAGAAATTCTTTTTTTGAAAACCATGTTTGTATTCTTCAACATTAGTTTCGTTCTTGTTTTATACGAAATACTATTTACGTTAACATATTTTCTTATTCACATTTTTTTAAAACATTTGAATTTATATCCTTTTAATAATACTGTTCAAACATTATTAAGGATGGTATGGTGGTCTTTTAATTTAATTAACTTTATTGAGCGACAATAAAGAAAATTTAACACGAGAATTAACTGAAAAATGCTCTTCTAGTTTCAAGTTGAGTTGGCTACGCGACGTCGCCGCGACGCGCACGCTGCTCATGAATAAGAGTCCCGTTGTGACTTGAAACTGGTAGAGCTTTTCTCACTTAATTCACGTAACTCGTTATTTTCAATGAATCTATTGTATGATTTTTTAAACAGTGCCCCATACTAAGATTTCTTCCTGTGTCGTGAGCGCGTTAAGAACATAAAAATTCACATACACAAGCCACCCAGACCCGAAACAGCAATTTGTGGATTCCGAATCACAAAGTGTTATTCAGTTGCCCAGCTAGTGCACTAACCATGCAGTCTGTCTCACGATAGTTACTATTCAAAACATTACAAAGCTTTTAAAAACAAAATACTCACTTGTAATAAAATATCTCCTATTTGCAATCTTCCATCTTTTTGCGCAGCACCACCGACTGCTAGCCGTGTTATACTGACGTCACTGCCAGTTTCCCCGCCCGCTATACTGAGGCCGAGCCCACTCGCACCCCGTTCCAATGTCACATCAGCTGTCTCCCACACTGCCTCGCTGTCTGCATCCGAAGGACACTGCGAACAATGACGTATTGTGACACGAGGGAAATGTGTTGCTGTGGAATTAGTACGTTACTGGAAATGTCTAACAATGTCTAAACATGTTGATGTTGGATTTATCTTGGGTCTTTGATAGGTTTATGTGACCTGAATAATGATGCTGGGTAAATATACGGAACCAAGTAAGAACGGGATTGGGCAGTCGACACTAGACCCGAATTACAAATATAACATTATTATAGTTACAAATTATTTGGTTTTCTATATTTGTAGCAATCCAAAGTCATCTAAAGTTGTGAATCTAAACTATAGTACGTACGTACTCGTAACTATGAACGAATTATTTTTATATTGCGAAACAAAATTATATAGAAATAGATTCGATCGATTAAGACAACAAAACAAACATCGAACAAATTGGGAATGAGTGGGGTAAGAAAAACAAAACTACCTTCGCACTCACCGACGCTTAAGGACATTTGACTGTTTCCTCAACCAACCGAATAACAACTAAGGCAACGGTTCCACTGAGGTGAAATGGAGCTGTATTAAGCGGTGCGGAGCGGAGCGGAGCTGAGTGAAACGGACCTTCTTTGCCTTTTGTATTGGCTGATGAGTGAGTGCCCATTGAAACGCATTCTCTTAGTCAGACCGCAAATCATGTTGTCAGTAAAATAATGCTGGTCTTTTTAAGAGATTTGTGAAAATTATAATAATTTTTGTGAGTTGGGAAAATTATAATAAGTTCGCTTATTTTTCTTTCTAATTTTCGCTGATTATTCTTTTTCTAATTTTCGCTGATTTTCCTTTTTGACTCAAAGGTCAGAAGAGGTAGAGATAGCCATAAAACATAGAGAATAAAGAAATAAAAAGAAGTAACAAGAATTAAATGTATAAATATGCGTTTAAATAAACTGCCCCTCTCCATTCCCCGTCGCCCCTCTTTTGGCGCTAGCTAGGTAGCCAGAAAAAGGAGCAAGATAAGCTAGCCTAATTTTCCGATATTCATTTTTCCTCTCATCGCTACCCGTTTTTTTGGAAGCGGAGCAGAGACTGAAGAAATGTAGATTTCCAGCTGTGTTATTGGTGAATCGCCGCACAGGTCATCTCCGCTTCGCCTCAGAGGGACCGCAGCCTAAGGTCGAGTACACCAAGCAAACAAAGTAAATTAACCTCCCCAAGTTCTTAACTAAAACGTATAAACATAACAGTTTCGTAACTGATAGTAACCAGTTTATAAAGCTGCTTGCAAACTTATATTGAGAAGTTCAACCTAATTATTTCTGTGTATGTTAAACAAAGTTGGGTTAATTATACCATTTGTAACTTGATTAGCCATTCCCCAAACTGATTTTCAAGATCTTTGTTTTAATGGAAAATCAATGTTTATTTTGTTGAAAATTGTATGCTCCTTAGTAAGAAGATGGCTTTGGTATAGATGTTTGTTAGAAGAAAATGTGTAGTCAGTTTTTTTGTACCTTCTCTAGCTTCGCCTGTATGAAATGTAGCCTACCAGTGCTATTTTCATGATACTCGTTGATAAAAAATTTTGGTTAAATTATAGTCATACATTATTACTAGCGACCCGCCCCGGTTTCGCACAGATGCAACGCCGATAAGTACAAATGTTTAACACTATTTAATGGATGTGCTTCCTCTTCATTTTCTCTATCTATTCGAAAGAACTGCATCATAATGCGTTACGTAGTTTTAGAGATTTAAGCATACATGGGGATATGGGAACAGAAAAAGCAACTTTTTGTTAGTACTGTTTTATACTATGTAGGTAATACACGTAATATCTATACATCGACACAGTTTCATGTTAATAATATTTAATATAAAGTAAAATACACTTCTTAATCCTTGCAGATATATTCATTGTTTGATACTTGAAAGGCATTTTTAATCAAATTATCCGTTTGAATATGAACTGCTGTGGTTAGGAGGAAGAGTTACTTTGCCGAAATTCTGTGACATTTTCCTGTTCGATAAATTCCCAATTTCAGATTGAGATCGAGATTGCCCCGATAAAAGGATATGGGATAAAATATTGTATTTAACCTTTGCATTTATTATTTGAACTATTTGTATTGCGTTTAGAATAGGACTGAATTATTTTTATTGCTTTTAGAATCGGACACAACCTGTGTACAACAAATGCACACCTAAAGATTAAAGAAAATTCAATAGAAATAAATATTGATTTTCATGTTTATATAACATATCTATTATATATGTATAATGTATATGTTATATGTATATGTTTATATACATTTAAATCATGTGTTGAAGTGTTAAAGAACCGCAAAATGTTGCTAAATATATTTTAATTTATAAATCTTGTTTTTTTTTTCTGTTGTATTAACTTATATCGCTCTCAGTCTAGTCAAGAAATATATTAGTTATTTATCTTCGGCCTTAATGCCTGGTCTACCTTAGTGTGATACAGAGACAAGTTATGGTAAGTGCTACAACTAAAAGAACAAAAGGATTGTTGAAACTAATGAATAAATTAAATATTCTTATACGAAAAAGGCTGTTTCATCTAATTGCTAATCTCTAATCAAACCGAAGACGTAACAAATGTTGTATGTGTGTTGCTGGAGTATGCACGGAACAGAACGAGAGTTATTTGTAAATGTTTTTAAAGTAAATTAATTAATGTAGACATAATCCAATCTATCTTATTTTCAGCGTGTATTAATTATAAGTTTTATTATAGTATATCATAGTATAGTACCATCATATAAGTAGAAATAGTTGGTAAACCTAAATATATAAAAAAACTATATCTGAATAATCTACTGATATTTTAAAAGAATTATGTCATATAATTATAATAATATTACCTATCCTACAAGAAAAACTCTTATTAATTAGCATTAGCTTTTAACAAAATTATAATAAACTAATTATTTTTATGCTAGCCAACTAATTTGTACGATGGGACTCACATAGCTTTCATAAAAGTCGTTAATTAAAACTATATGTTCAATAATATGTACAATATTATGAAATAAAAAAAATAAGTATATACTCGTTCTACAAATACTTCAATAACTAACACTTAACAAAATCTTTGTATTTGGGTCAAAACGATTACCTACATTACCATAGGTACCATCCTCTCATTTTATTAATGATGTAATGAAAGGCATAACTAACGGAAATTATGAAGTCGTTGACCCTTCAAAGTGACATCGCCATGTCCGTCCAAGTTTGAATGGGTGTACCGTAGACATCGAAGTATGTAGGTCGAAGTTAAATCGAACAATCTGACGGGGAACTGAAAGTTTCCGCACTTGTAAGTGCGATTTCATTGTGCCGAAGGTTCAATTAGATAAGACTACAAGATTGTAAGAAAATTGAACTATTAAGGTATTCTGTGGCCCTGGTTATGCTTAGCCTAGATGAAAAGAGAACTAGAACTTTATAATTATATAATATACTGCATTGACTGCAGCGTTGGTGCGGTGGCTGGGTAACTGGCTGCCGTGCAACGTGTCGCGGGTTCGATTCCCGCACGGAAAAACTCTTTGTGTGATCCACAAATTGTTGTCCAGTTCTTGGTATTATTTGTTTGTGAAATTGTATGTTTGTAACCGCACCCACGACAGGAGAAAATCCTAGTGTGAGGCAATGTTTTTTTAAAAAAAACTTACCCGGCCATTTATTTATAAACTTATGGACTGTCATAAAACATCAGTCTCTCATTCACAATTTATTAGACAACTCTACTGGGTTACAAAGCACTAAAATGGAAATAAATGGCTTTATATATATTTTTTTAAATAAACTCGCCAAAATGCATCTGAAAGGGATGCCATGACAAATAAACACACTCCAACTGGATCTACGAACACAGCAGTTGATTTAAAACATGTGCCGCTTTCAAAGAGCATAAAATATTAACCGTAACGGTTTTGTGGTCTGGACCAGTCGTTTCCATAATAACTTTTAATAGTGAAATCCGTGAGTGATCGGGTAGGATTAAAACCAAATACGCGTGACCGCCGACAAAATTCAATATGGCTAACGAATATTCGCACTGGCATAAATGCTAGTGAAACTTTACTTTTATAATTAAAAAAAAAACGCCGAACGTGTGTTATTTCTAGCACACGAACAAGCTAACTAGTAAACTTTATAATTGGCTAGTTAATATAGGTATAAATCTGTAACAACTTCGGTTCTAACAGCGTGTGAAGCTTATATTTTTCTCTGTCAATTAGGTACAAAGTCTGAATTGTGCAAAGTTATTGAATTATGGTAGTAGTGGTAGTTTTTTTTGTGGAGAGGAAATCATGAATTGCCTTTAGTGTCAGAAAGGCTTACAACCATCCCGTTTCTTTTCCAGCTCCTGGCCGAGGTCACGGTACATTTGCGGTTGTTAGCCCCTATAGTGGTACAATAGTTCTGATCTGAGCTGTAATGTTTGATATAGTAAGTGTGGGAGAGCCATGCTTCGGCACGAATGGGTCGGCTCGACCGGAGTGATACCACGGCCTCACAGAAAACCGGCGTGAAATAACCACTGCGTTGTGTTTCGCCGTGTGAGTGAGGTTACCGGAGGCCCAATCCTTTTTTTTTTTTTTTTTTTTTTTTTTATTCTGACATGAGTATACGGGGTTTTTATCCACATGGATACGTCAACCCCATAGTACCTTATAGCAACGACATATTATTTAGATTTTACCTAATACTATTACATGCAATCCTAACTCGTCTAGGTTCTACATAAAGGTATACAGAAACCTATCTATTAATACACAGTTATTCATTGCTTAAGCCTCAGAACTAAACCACACAACCTTTTAGCAACATTGGATTTAGGGTTCGCCAAAATACTCTGGATAAGTCCAAGATCTAAGACATTTAGTTTAAAGTCCTTAAACAATGAATCCCTTTCAGTTTTGTTCTTAACACATTCCATCAGCAAGTGTTGCACATCTTCTAATCGGTTGCAGACATCGCAGTTTGGAGATGTTGCCTTTCGCATGAGGAAGGCAAATTTTGCTGATGGAAAGTGTCCAGAACGAAGTCTTAGGGCAACTTTGACATAACTCCTACTTAAGTTACTGTCATCGAACCAAGGCACACGAGGAGGTTCACTCTGAATGGCTTTGTACCATATTCCTTTTTCGCAAGAGATCTTGTTGAAGAGATCTTTCCAATTCTTAAAACAAGTGAGCTTAAATCTTGGAACATATTCCCAGTGATCAGGTAAATAAGAAATTTGACTTCCTGTTTCAATTGCCAGTTTTGCCAACCGGTCAGCCTCCTCGTTGCCCCGTAATCCTATATGAGCTGGAACCCATTGCAATATTATTCGAATTTCGTCTTTATTAAGCAGATAGGCCCAATCCTTCTCCTTTCCCAATCCCTCCTCAATCCCTAAATCTCCAAATCCCTAATCCCTAAAAGGTCGGCAACGCACTCGTAACTCCTCCGTTACGAGTGTCCATGGGCGGCGCTGATTGCTTACCATAGTAATTGAACTAACAAATTCTATGCCTGTAATCCGTATTGTGGGTTACTTTGTCGATCTCCGATCTTTTATCTTAATTTATAAAAGTATCTAATTCTCAATTGTCTTTGGTCCTGACATCAGGCTTGAACCGATACCGATAATCATTTTTATGCTGTTTTTACTAAAGTAGAAAAAATATTATAGGAAAGTAAAGAGGAAATTAGTAAAGTGACAACCGTTTCCTGAAACCGACACATCCGAGAGAACCAGGAGTGGGCCGCTAGTATAATTATACATATAACGAAAACCCTTAAATTGTTACAAAAAAAAAAATATGCTTAAATAGTCAATTTCTTAGATATACCGAACTTGAAAACGATTTATTTATTTATTATATCTGCTACCAAAATTAACCCTGTTCTCGCGCGTAATTTCATAAAAGCCCTTTATCACACCTTTATAATTTAGGCGATAAAATATAATAGCTTTAAGCGGTGCTATATACAGAGCGGAGTCGGTTCATTATTATTTAAATCTTTATACACAAACATTATATGAGTACTTTCAAATGTATGAATCATTATTCAGGGAACGTTCTTCAATTAAATAAATCTGTTGCTGTGGGTCGATCGACTTTAAAATACAATATGTTTCATTAAATAATTTAAAACTATTAAATGCACATGACATAAGTTTAATTGAAAAGTACTTATTTACAAAATATTAATCTACCTATAAATAATGATATCTTTTTAGACTCATTTAAATGTAAGCTGTTTATAGTGAATTATGGTTTTATTACAAAACAATGTTTTCTACCTTTGGTTTTTACGTACGTAGAAACCATTGAGTCAAGTTTTGTATTTTGAATCATATTCTCACCTACCTTCAATTCGAAATTGTGGGATTAAAGTGTGGGAGAGCCATGCTTCGGCACGAATGGGTCAGCTCGACCGGAGTGATACCACGGCCTCATAGAAAACTGGCGTGAAACAACCACAGCGTTGTGTTTCACCGTGTGAGTGAGGTTACCGGAGACCCAGTCCCTCCTCAATCCCTAAATCTCCAAATCCCTAATCCCTAAAAGGTCGGCAACGCACTCGTAACTCCTCCGTTGCGTGTGTCAAGCGCCGCATGTATGTTAACTATTATATGTTTTTTTATTAAAATTACTGCAATCATTCCAATATTAATCAGAAGTAAGACAAAATAATGTAACAAAATAATATACATATATTTTTTTCATTGAAAAGAATAAATTTAAAATGTATATCAATGTTTTTGGAACAGGAGAACAAAAACCATGCGCCAAATAGATGTACTATAACACAATAAACTGACGATAAAACAAAATGTTAGGTTACCGTGGAATCTGTTGTGCCAAAAACATTTTGTAGGCAGCGAAAAAGTGATAAAAGAAGTGCTTTGGTGAAAACCGGGGTCGCACTTTGCTAGTCGGAGATAAAAATATTTTAACAAAGAAAATATCGGTTCCTCGCCCAACTTTTTCCACGGGAAATGGGCTATGGAAAACTGTAACGATTTTCGCACGGCAAAATGTAATAAGATGCAAATTGTATAATAAAATTAAACATTTGATGCTTGTTTTTTGTTTCGAATAATTTTACATTCTTCGAAGGAGGCTTTAATGTCTTGAATACCTATTTAATAAAAATGGATCACAGATAATAAATGCGTACATTCTAACTTTTTTAACGTCTCATTTTTCTTTTAATTTTCATCGTTGTCGAATTATTTATTTTGGAGTGATTCATTGAGCACCTCAATAAGCAATTTTTTATTTGATTGTTAAATATTTGTGTAAATAATTTAAAGTTATTTTTGGAAACGAGCCTTGTTAGAAACAAAATTAAATGATTGCAAACTCTGTTTTTTACAATTAAAGAAACATATTATAAATATACACATAAAAACATTTAATGCAAAACTTATACTTTACAAGAAAACACTGGCATTTCGTTCAGGTGTGACACGTCATTAACTTGCAAGTTTCTTGTCCAAAAGCCAAGAAAAGCTAAAGAGAATATTTAAATAGACAAAAATTTTAAGAAAAGAAATTGTTAGCAGTCGCCATAAGATACGTTGGCAACACTAGAGAGAACACAAGGTAGAAACATTTTAGAAGTTCTATACAAGTAACAGGTTGGACATTTAGCGTCAGAACGATATATTTTTACTCCTAAACACATAAACATAAGTAATTATTTTACGAAAAAAGATTACGTTTCAAACACAAAAATGCGTTTGAATGCAATTTTTTTTAATGTTTCGATATTTAACTGTCAAGATAATCTAGTTTATATAAAGCACGAGATATTGCCTACAAGAAAAATATTAAATGGTGCATTTAAAACAACCAGTCAGAAACAGGATTTCACTAAGCGCATGAAACCTACAAATATAAAAATAGACGGTGCCTTTGTATTGGCTATCGGCAATACGGTTGTCGATGCAAACATTTATGTTCTATCTCGGATCATGGACTCGATAACAAAGGCATTCAACTGGAAAATACAAAGTAGGTACTCCAATATTGTTCAAAATAAATGTCAAACAGAATACTTCTTTAGTACTCAGACCAGGTTTCTGAAAGGTTTATCAACTCTGATCGGCTGTTTAATATGTTGACTTTCAATTGAGATACTATAGGAGCGTAAATACTTGATTGGGTGTATAAAATACCAAATTATAAACAAGTAGATCAAGGTTATAACAAATGGTTTTTAGTATTCGCTAGTGTGAAACTGGGAACGCGTTTGTGATACTTCTTATATGGCTGGTCTCGGCCGGTGGTGATCACTTACCATCAGTTGATCTGAATGATGGCGTGCCACCTATTCCATCAAAAAGTGTTTAAGTAACATATCCTAAGAGTTTTAGCTCCGGTAGCGTTCCCCTTTTCAATCAGTATCGAAGGATATTTGTATAAAACATCGGTAATATTTTAATTTACTAGTTGGACACTATAAACTAAAAACTATAAGCAGATAAATGCTAAAAGATGCCATAAATGCTAATGCGATAAATGCTAAGGATAAATGCTTTCTAAAACGATAACGCTTTGATTGTTGTACACAACAGATAGCAAACAGCGTTGCAGAAAAAATAGAGTTGAATTGGCGATTGAATTGTGTAAAAATATTTATTGAATCAAATTGAATATAATAGAAAATAACAAC